CGTGAACTGAGACCCGGGGCCCCGGCCTCCCCGGCCGGAACGAAACCCACCCTTCTGCTCCCCAGTTCCACCCCTGGACGAAGAACCCCCCGAATTCCCCACCAGAACCTCAAGGAAGGGCCAAGCGAGAGGTCAGTGTGGATAGCTCGCCCCCTACAGGTCGGTGAGGTCCTCCGAGGTACCCCTCCTGCACCCTGGCGGGACTAGCCGCGGGGACAGTTTGGGATGCAGTCACTGGGACCATGTAGTGTCTCTGCACCTCCTCACTGCTTTAAGGAACCTGGTAAAGATGGGTATTATCATAGAGTTGGCCAGAGATCAGGAGCTATAAGGCCAAGTGGGCATTCAAACCTATGCCCTTGAACTTGGAAGAGCACCCCCCCAGCACCCCCACACCCCGGGAACGTCGTGTTCCTTAAGCTTGTACAATTAGGGGTACTCCCAGTGACTTGTAAACAGTTTTAGGGTGCTAGACCAGGCTTCACCCTACGAAGACCACAGAACGCGCTGCAATATTGCTGTCGAAAGAGGAGGGGGACCCCAGGGGACCAGAGGTAGCGTATGAGAAGAGAGGAGCTATTGTTCCTGATGGTTCCATGAGAAAGTACTGCAAACTGCAGCTGGCCGATCCCAGACAAGACTGGGCCAATAAAACGTCTGAATGAGTACACATTTTTCGTTTATAGCTCGTAAGGAAATTCTCAGCTGTATTTAAAAACCCAGAGGTTCTGAAGACACCAGTCAAAAATCACACCCTGCAACTCCACCAGGCGTGTGGCATGGTTACCGCCGCCACCAACCATACAGCCTAGAGAAACATGACCAAAAAAAAAAAAAAAAAAAAAAAAAAAAAAAAAAAAAAAAAAACCTTCCGTGTGTCTGAAGAGGAGGGAGTGTGGGAGAGACACGGGAAACCCAAGGTGGGGGACAAAAGTGGTCTCCTGCCTCCGCAGGACAGTGGACCAGTCAATCTTTTTAAAGCTCCCGTGTACAAATGTGCCGTATGAGGTGGCCGCTGGGGTCAGACATTATGTATGGCTTCTGGTATTTCACTAGCACTGCGTGTGAATGAAGTTCAGCTTTCAAAAATAGCTGCGCCAGTGGGTAGCTTTTATTGCTGGGCTAAGGCAAGCAATCCCCAAACTGTGCATCTCTTGACCTCTTTGTGTATTTCCGTCCCTGTGGTGTCTTGGGACTCCCCATGGCAGGCTTGTGTAACTCAAGGGTGTTCTGTAATGGTGCACCCTCTCCTTCACAAGGTCATTCTCCGCCCCCTCTGCCTCCTTTCCCACCGGGAAGCTCTTTTGTTCTTCTCTGAAGCTGAAGAATATTCTCTGAAACTTTTCAAGGTTTTATTTTTGGAGGGCTGGTCTCTGTGATGCCTTGAGAAGTTAAGAGAAAATAGTGTTTTTCTTGACTACCAGTCAACTAACCTACTAGTCTGTGCTACCAGTCCAACTAATCATTGTGTCT